TTCAGGGTGAACCTTATATATCAAGGAGTTTATCTACTCCTAAAAATTCATGGAAAAATGCATATTATGAAAGAAGTATTTTTAAGCATATACTTTTAAATATTTTGTAGCAAAGTAAAGTCTTTATTTTTTCACAACTTTTTGAAGTCCCCACCTGTCTCTAGATTTCTTTATCACTACTACTTCCACCTTCACCCAAACATATCATGTTGGGATTCCTCTATTCTCCAGTCTTCTAATGTGTTGAACTTCTTTAATCCATCCTCCAGGTGTAGACCCAGCCCAGGATGGAGGAGTCAGCGACCTTTGCTGGGGAATTTGGAATCCAATACCAGTCACCTTCTGGAGGGGGTCCATTTCCTGATGAGACCCTGAATTTCTTAAGAAAAGTCCACCTCTTTGTAACAGTTTTCCTTTTTTGTTTCTCTCTCTCAAATCAAAATAACTTTAATAGCATTATGTTCCTTGCAATCTATCTTTCTTTCTTAGACTAAGATGTAAGTGACTTCTGGGGTTTGGTGGCAAACAGCCAGTAGTGCCGCTACATACCTTAAGGGAAGCCCTTAGAGTAATCCTTCTGGAATAGGCCAGGCTGGGTACTGTAATTATTGTTATGTATTCGGGTTATTTGTTATAATTGAGGGCCATGTGCTTTGCCTGTACTCTTATTTAGTCATCACATTCTTTTTTTCCTTTTTTGTTTTTAAGAGAGAGATTTTTGCTATAGGGCACATGTGCTCACCAGAGAGACAGAGAGAGACAAAAAGTGAGAAATCACCTCCCGGGGGAATGCCATGCCACAATCCTTTCTCCTCCATTCTCCTCTCAGGATTTTGGGCACGCACGCACACACACCCAGTGTGAATTTAAACTGGGTCCAGGACTCAAACTGTAGTTGCTTATGTGGGACTCAGTGACGTAACTATTACACCATCTGATGGTCCCTAGTACTCACAATTTTATGATGAGTACTCTGAGCACTTATGTAACAGAACCATGACTAGGGGTTCAGGTCCACTTGACCATACTGTAGAAGGTCCAGGGAAGATTCCAACCTGGTCCACTTTAAACAGTAGCAGAAAGGGCTGACCTCAAGGTACCGATTGAGAAAGTCTCTCAGAAATGATTCTGCTGTAGGCAATGGAGAGAGATGTGTGTGGATGCAGGAACGAGGCCTTTCTGCAAGCAATCTTCTGACTTGGGAGCCAAAGTCCATTCTCAAAGACGCAGGGACCAGGCTTGCTTCTTTATATCTGGCCCATGTCCGATGAGGCATATGGTACAGGGATTCTTCTGAGGACCTGATGGTATGCTAGGCTCTGATGGGCAAATAGCCAGCTTCTAATTACAAACTAACTTGTGATCTGAGCTTTTTATTTCTTCTCAGAGAGGCCTGGTAATCTGTGGGCTGCCTTGAAAACCTGGAGCTATTCCTTCCCATCCCAGGGCGTGGCTCCTTAGGAGGAGCTTCTAGGGACGGGCTTCAGGGGCCCTGCCTTGGAATGTCTAAGACAGGACTGTTTATGGTTGCCTTTGGCATTTGATTAAGAGAATGATAGGCACATGATGGTGAGCAGTTACCTTCATTAGTTATAAAAATAAAGATGGCTTTCACATATTTTATGGCCTTGTCATTGCAGACCCTTTTCCCCTCTCTTCCAGCACTTTGACTCAGTTTCTGGATATCAAAGTAGACAGAGCTTTCGCAACTTTCCACCCCATTACTACCAAATCATGTGTTCATATCCAAGGCTCCCTAAATGCAAAAAAAAAAAAAAAAAAAAAAAATATAAAAATTAAATTAAAAAATTCCTTAAAAAAATTAAAAGTGGGTCAGCTGGTGGGTGGGGGGTTAAGGGGGTATAATGGCTATGTCGCTGGACTCACATGTAGTTGACCCCGGTTCGTGTCCCAGACCCGGTGGCTTAAACTCACGCCAGGCGCATGTACATGTGTGCCCAAGATCCCCAGAGGAGAATGGAGGAGAAGGGATTGCGGCATGGCCATCCCCCCTGGGGAGAGTGATTTCTCGCTTTCTATCTCTTTGTTTCTCTGTCTGTCTGGCGAGCGCACACACCCTATAGCAAAAACCTCTCCAAAAAAAAAAAAAAGAAGTACTAATTTTAGTAAGATTATAATAAGTTGAGTAGGCATATTGAAATCTCTAGGGTCACCACTTTAAAAAATATTTAAAAAGAGGAAATAAAATGGAATAATAAATATTTGCTAAATCAAAAAGAATATAGGAAAACAAAAATTTTAAAAAAAGAAAATATGAAACGAATCAAAACAAATAGTGAGGGACCAACAGGTGGTGTGGTAGTTAAGGTATTGGACTCTCACATGGTCAACAGTGGTTTGATTCCTGGACCTGGTGGCTTTCTCTCTCTCTCTCTCTCTCTCATTATTTAAAAATAATGATAACAAATAAATTAAATTAAATTAAATAATTCCTTAAAAAAGCAAATAGTGAGATGGTAGAGTTAATTCCAACTATATTAGTAATTATAATACATATATGGACTAAGTACTCCAATTAAAACATGACCATTTAAAAATTGTTTACAAAATTTTAAAGATTCATGGGACCAGCAGTTAGCATAATGGCTATGTTGCTGGACTCCCACGTAGTCGACTGTGGTTCACATCCCGGACCCAATGGCTTAAACTCACACCGCGCGCATGTGTGTGTGCCCAAGATCCCAGGAGGAGAAAGGAGAAGGGATTGCGGTGTGGCCATCTCCCCTGGGGAGTGATTTCTCGCTTTCTGTCTCTCTGTCTCTCTCGGTCTTTCTGGCAAGTGCACATACCCTACAGCAAAAACCTCTCAAAAAAAAACCTGTTTCTAACCAGCCATTTTCATTTGGGGATCTTGCTGTGATGTCTACTATTCATGACGACGTGAAGATGGGCTTTACGGGAGGACACCTGGGAAACTTGGGGGAACCACTCATTTTTCACTCTTTATATCCAGCCACGTCCTGTGCCAGCTTTAGGTTTATAATAGATAGGTCAAAAACACACAAGGAACAGAAATAGACATGTATAAGGATTTTTCTTTTTTTTGGAGAGGTTTTTGCTACAGGGCACATGCATTCGCCAGAAAGACAGAGAGAGACAGAAAGACAGAAAGCGAGAAATCACCCCCAGGGGGGATGGCCACGCCACAATCCCTTTTCCTCCATTCTCCTCTTGGGATCTTGGGCACGCACGCACACGTGCCCGGTGTTAGTTTAAGCCACCGGGTCCAGAACTCAAACTGTGGTCGGCTACATGGCAGTCCAGCAACATAGCCATTACGCTAACTGCTGGTCCCTGTATAAGGATTTTTCAATGAAGCTTTTTTTGGAAAAGAGATTAATTGGAAATAACTTCTATGAAAAGATTGCCAAGACAAATTTGAAAAAGTGAAAAAGGAATTTGCATCAAAACACACGTCAGCAGTTGTTTAAAATTAAAAAGAGAGGAAAAGAACAGCTCTGTCAGCTCATCTCATCTTACAGGGGAGCTATCTGGGGATACCCAACGGGTGACTCCCGTGGGAACCCCTGGGGAGGAGGCAGAGGAGAGACTTCAGGGGTCAAGGTGTGAAGCCATCTCTTGCATCACTTACATTTTTATGAGCATGCATTTTAGAAAATTTATGTATTTTTTTTTAAGGTTTTTGCCATAAGATGCCCATGTTTGTCAAAGAGAGGCACTCGGAGGGAAGCTGAGAAAACATCCCCCCAGGGATGACCACGCCACAATCCTTTCTCCGCTATTCTTCTCCCAGGATCCTGGGCACCCAGGCTGCCAGGTCCAGGACTCGAATCACAGTCGGCCATGTGAGAGTCCAGCACCTTAATCACTGCACCATAGATACACTTAAAAAGTTTATATTTAAACCCAAAGTGTCCTTGCTAATCAAATCTGAGGAAAATAAGGACATTTCTGATTAAGGGTGGTTCTTTTGTGATGAATTGTCCACTTAGTGACAGTTCTTGTCTGGACCCAAGGCTTGGCAAACCCCTACCCAGCTGAGAACGTCCCTCATCTCTGGCATGAAGAGGTGGAAGAATGGATATAGGAGACGAAGTTGGACACATGGGCCCATCAAGCTAGGAGTTGGGACTGTCCCGAAACCTCACAGGGCTTCCATATTGTAGCCCGTCTATCGAATCGGCCAAGAGTTCCCTCTGGCACCCACAAGCCTGTGAGAGGAGGCCTCGTTCTCGGACGTCAGTGGAGGGAGTCATGCTGTGCTTTCTCCTGGTCAGTCCTCTAGATGGCACCTAGGGTAACTGTCCACCAAGATGGCGGCCATCAGTTCCTTCCCTTTCACTACGAATGGTCACTTCTGCTTCTGCTTCTTCCTCCTGGAAACTGTTTAGGAATTTGACTCCCTTGGGACCACCATGTCATGAGGAACTCTGAGTATAGGATGACCAGCTTGTCCTCGTTGGCCTGAATCTCTTCTGGTTTTAGCACTGACAGGAAGCCCTTTGGTCCTGGACAGATCAGAATGACTGGTCACCCTATAAGTTTGCTCCATGAAGCCCCGGGAGAAAAAAATGCCTAGTCAGCCCCCTACTGCCTCACCCATCCTGGATGGGGCCCAAGATACAACTGAAGCAGCGGTCTGGAAGAGGAAGGCCAGGAACACACTGCAGTCAGGGGAGAACCGCTGCCAGGCAGGCTGGGCCCGCATTGTAGGGTGGGGAGAAATAATGGATAGGTTTTGCTTTTAGTCACTAAGGGCGTGTGCATGTGTATGTGTGTGTGTGCATGCACATGTGTGTGTGTGTGTGTGTGTGTGTGTGTGTGTTGGGGGAGGCTGTTGGGGCAAGTACAGTTTCAGAAATGGTGTTTGTGTCTAGAACAGGCCGTGCACAGTCCTAGATATGAGAACGTGGTTTAAAAAGAAACTAGAACATTAACACAGGATTCATCTTACCAGCTCTCTGTCTGGTACCTGATTTTAACAGGAACCATCACTCCCCCTTGTCTTAGCCACGTACCTTTTGCATTTTGGGGTCCTCTGGAAATATGCAGTTTTCACTTTGTCCTGAAATTTTCTTGCACATTGTTCTGGCGATTTTGACTTCGATGTAGTACTCCAAACTGTCTGTGATCTGTCAATGAATAGTTTGAAAGTTCGATTTCCTAACAGAATACAGAGGTTGTTTTTTTCTTTTTCTTTTTCTGTTTTTGGAGAAGTTTTTGCTATAGGGCACATGTGCTTGCCAGAATGACAGAGAGAGAAAGTGAGAAATCACCCCCCAAGGGAGATGAGCCACACCGTAATCCCTCCTCTTCCATTCTCCTCTCGGGATCTTGGACACGCATGCACACATGCCTGGCGTGAGTTTAAACCACTGGGTCTGGGACTTGAACTGCAGTCAACTACATGCGAGTCCAGTGACGTAGCCATTACACTATCTGCTGGTCCCCACATCTTTACTTCTAACCAATAGATGTTGAAGGAATAAAAAGACACTTCAGAACTGAAACTTGCTTTAAATGTGTTTGTTCTCTCTAAAGCCTTCCATTTTTTGGCAACTTTTTTAAGAGAGTGTTTTGTTTTGTTTTGTTTTGTTTTGTTTGCAATAGGGCATGTGCACTCACCAGAGAGACAGAGAGAGAGGTGGCCACACTGTAATCCCTTCTCTATTCTCCTCTCAGGATTTTGGGCATCCACACACACACACCCAGCATGAGTTGCAAGCCTCCGGATCCAGGACTTGAGCCATGGCTGGCCATGTGGGAATCCAGCGCCTTAGCCCCTATGCCACCTGCTGGCTCCTTTTTGGCAATTTGAGCAACCCACGCCTACTCTCTGTGACGTAGCCTCCAAAATCTCTGCCTCTCAGAGCATCCCGCCCATGCAGACCTGACCCAGTCCTTCTATTCAAGGAGGGCAGCTTGGGGAAACAGAGCTACTCAATGGTAAATGCAGACTTTTACACTAAAAACTGAACAACCGGAAAACAGGGATTACAAAACCTGGAGGAATGTATTAAGGAGAACAGCTAAGTTCATAATAATAACTGGCCCCAGAAGAATCAGAGTTAATTCACAAATATAATACATATTTTAGAAGTCCTAGAAAAGTTACCTGGGCATTGAACAACACGTGCGTGATCAGCAGAATCCCCAGATGCCCCCAGGTCCCTGCCCCCGCTATATGCAGCCTGCACGATGCCTCGGACGATGACAGACATGTTCTTGTAATGAGGTTATGTCAGTGACACAGCTGACCTTAGGAGAGGGAGACTGACCTGGAGGCCCTGACTCAATCACATCTGGGTCTAGCAGCAGAGACAGAAGTTTGCAGACCCTTTGGTCCAGCAATTCCACATCTAGATTTATACCCAAAGACACACACATGTACAAATACATGCACGGCATCACTCTTCGTAACAGTCAAACACACACGCACAAATACATGCACGGCATCACCATTCGTAACAGTCAACACTGAGAATAGCCGTCATGAATCAGAAGTAGAAAGGACATGTAGAATATCTACATATCATCAAATGCTCTGCAGCAAGAGCATTTTTTATATTCCATATGTAAGTTAGATCTTGCAGTATTTTTCTCTCTGTAGCCAGCTTCTTTCACTTAGCATAAGGAGTGGGGTAAGCGGGTAGAGATGGAAAGACATACCTCAAAGGATAAAAAGTAGTAGATATGGGGCCAGTAGGTGTCAAAGATGGTTAAGGTGTTGGACTCCCAAATAGCTGACCACGGTTCAAGTTCCCAGTTTGGCAGCTTGAAACTCATGCCAGATGCATGGGGTGTGTGCCCAAAATCCCAACAGAAAATGGAGAAGGGATTGTGATGGCCACCTCCCCTAGGAGCTGAGCTCTCACTTTCCCTCTCACTGACTGTCTCTCTCTGTCTCTCTCTCTCTCTCTGGTGACCACATGCGCCCTATGGCAAAAATGTTAAAAAAAAAAGGGGGGGGAATAAAGCAGCATGTAGGGATATGGGTGCAGCAGAACACAATGCTCTGCTCTGCTGGAGTCATAGCTAGGTCCCAGGTTCGTGTCCGAAGGCCTCCCTGTGCACACTGGGCATGCACATTGCTGTGACCCTGGCTACCAAGACTGGGGTGGACTGTGGCATGACAACCCTGTTGGGGATGCCTATCTCCATTTCTCTGTCTCCCTCCCTCTCATGGAAAAAATAAATAAATTTTTAAAAATTAAATAGCAGATAAGTGAGATGAACAAGTCTAGTGATCTAATGAACAATGAGAAGATTATAGTAACGCTGCATTGCATTTGGAATTTTGGCTACAAGGGTGGATTGTAGCTAGTGTTACAACACACACAGATTGTAGCTTGATACACTTTTGTATGCATACTGATGGGTGTGTTCACTTGCCTTGCTTTGCAGTACCATTTCACTATCTTTTATATGTCAAAATATCATGTTGTATGTAGTAACTACGCCCATATGAAAGAATAAAATTTGGGGGGTCCAGCAGGTGATGTGGTAGTGAAGACACTGGATTCCCACATGGTTAACCATGGCTCAAGTCCCGGACCTGGAAGCTTGAAAATCACACCAGGTACATGTACATGCATGCCCGAAATCCCAGGAGGAGAATGGAGAAGGGATTGCAGGGTGGCCATTCCCCTAGGGGATGTCTTCTCACTTTTCCTCTCTCTGTCTCTCTTTGACAAGTGCACGTATCCTATGGAAAACAAAAACAATAATGATATTAAAAATGTTTTAGTACTACACCTGATTTTAGAAAAAAAGGAATAAATATTCCTGTGTGTAACAAAATGGGTGAAATTCACAAGCTTAACATTGAACGATAAAAGCCAAGCAGCACACAACATAGGATCCCATTTTCATAAGTTCAAAGAGCAGGCAGAGCTGTGGCAAGAGGGATGCTCATTTAGGCGGTGCGCACAGGAAAGGTCGCCTCTGGCCGAGCACAGGAGACAGCGGCAGGCCAGATCTGGGGGACCCGCAATGCTCCTTCTAGACATGCAGGGAGTAGTTCCTAAGTGTTCTCTTTGTAATGACTCAGTCCGCTTGAGGTTTGGTCATTATGAACTCTTTATTTTTAAAAATTATTTATTTTATTTGTTGTTGTTGTTGTTGTTATTATTATTATTATTTTAAAATTTGACCAGAGAGAGACAGGGAAAGTGAGGAAGCAAGCTGCCAGGTCCAGGACTTGAAACATAGTCAGCCCTGTGGGGAGTCCAGCACCTCAACCGCTGCACCACCTGCTGGTGGTGGCCATCACCTGGGGTGGGGAGGGTGATTTCTCTTCTCTTCTGTCTCTCTCTTTAGCAAGCACACATGCCCTATGGGGGGGAGAAAAAAAAATCTTATAAAAAAAAAATAAACTGGAGGGCCTTGCCCTGTGGCAGGCTGCATGTGGCTGGAGGCTGTGCAGCAGAGACCCCTGGCTTATCCCCTCCTGCATTCGCCTTTGAACTCTCAGGAGACTGAACTTCAAAGAGACTGTGGCTTATCCCCTGCTATGTGCCTCTGAATTCCAAGACTTCAATGTTTTCTGAAGCATGCCACACGATCCCTTCTCTGTTCCTGAATTAAAGCTTAGCAGCTCAGGCCCAGGCACACGCACGATCCATCCCTTCTCTGTTCCTAAATTAAAGCTTAGCAGCTCAGGCCCAGGCACATCTGTTCTCTAGAAACAGGGAGGACTTTGAAGCATCCAAGGCCAGTGACAAGAGTGCAGATTGCTGGTGAGCATCAGGGAGGTAGAGCAGCAGGGAGATTGCTGATCACCTATTCCCATGTGCCTTTGAACACTCAGAATTAACTCAAAGAACTTGGAAGGAACGTATAAATTATCAGATGACTAGAAACCATCACAGAAGCACAAGAAATAGGAGCAACCAACCAAATATCTCTTCCCCAAGGGAAAACATCAATTCCTCATCATCCACAGATAACACAATGGAATTCATAGACATGTCAGATAAATAATTCAGAATATTTATAGTTACAAAACTAAATGAGATGTAGAAGAAAACAACAAATGAGCTCCAGAAGATGAGGAAGCCCTTTCACAATTTGAAAGAAGAAATAGACGCCATAAAAAGAATCAAATGGAATTGTTAGAGATGAAGACTGTGATACAGGAAATTAAAGCCTCCCTCAAAAGTATTAAAAACAGATTAGATCACACAGAAAATCAAAACTCAAATGTAGAAGACAAAACCTCTGCCTAGAAAAAATTTTCAAAAGACTGAGAAAACAACCAAGAAAAATGAGGACAATAAACAAGAAATACTACAAACACCTAAATAATCAGTTAATGGGTATTTCAGAAGGTGAAGAAAATAATAAGGGCACTGATAATTTATTCCATGAAATCCTAGGAAAAAAAAAAATTCCAAACCTAAAGAGGCATTCAAATATCCAGACCCAAGAAGTGCAAAGGACCTCAAAGCGAATCAACTGAAGATCTTCTCCAAGGAACATCATAGTCAGATTGGCCAAAACCACAGACCAAGACAAGATACTAAAATGGGCAAGAGAGAAATGTCAAGTTACTTACAAAGGTTATCCTATCAGGTTAACATCGAACTTCTCATCAGAAACAATGCAGGCAAGCAAGATATGGTTAAAGTGTTAAATGAAAAACAATTTCAACCAAGATTACTATACCCAACAAGAATATCCTTTATGTGAGAAAAAAAGATAAAAATAAAAAAAACATTGTCAGATAAACAAAACCTGAAAGAATTTACCAATTCCAGACTAGTTTTAAGAAGTTCTGAAGGGAATGCTATACCAGGAAAACTAAAGACAGATAGATATAAGAGAACAAAAAACAACCAAGAAAATGACTCACTTAATGATAGGAACATATCCAGAGATATTGATAATAATGTTGAATGTTAATGGATTAAATACTCTGATCATGAGACACACATGGATAAAAAAACAGAAACCTTCTATATGTTGCCTATAAGAAATGCACCTTATGGATAAAGACATACTACAGGGACCAGCAGTTGACATAATGGCTATGTTGCTGGACTCCCATGTAGTCCACCACGGTTTGAGTCCCAGACCTGGTGGCTGGGACTCACGGCAGGTGCATGTGCATATGTGCCCAGTATCCCGAGAG